TCAGAGAAATAATACATTATTGCACATGTAGAGGCTAAGTCTTTTCCCACTGGGTTGTTATTTTTGTACGTCAGTGAGCGCAAGCCCAAAATGTACATACATTTCGTTTGTGGTGTTTTATCATCTTTACCTGAAAATATTTACTTATTTGCAAAAACTAAACTTCGTGGAAGTATTCACATACTGATACACACGTTCTGACTCGACAAATACATATGTATGTTTGTATATGTTTATGCAAATGCAAATATATGCACCTGCCTTTTTTATTGGGCTCATCCGCCAAAAATCGACTTAGCGGAACATAAGCTAATGTGTAACGAAGAGAGAGAGAAAAAAAAAACATTTAAAACTAACAAAAAACTGATTAGAACCGAATGTGTGAGCAAATTATGATGCCACTCGCCGCCAATTCCGTTTGGGCAACTGCGCGCGTAACACCTTGTACGTGTACAAAGTCATGGGAACACGCGTGGTACTTGCCTTGTATGCGTTTATAAAAAAATCTAGGTACATATATATTTAATACCTAATTTATTTAGATTTTTTACACGTTCGCCAAATTATTGAATCCATTTAATACTTGCAGTTTGTTCAATTTAGATTTGTTGTTATTCAGTAATAATTGTAAATATTGGGGCGTATGAATAAAAATAAGCAATTGCTTTTTCTTAAAATTTCAGATCTTTTACTCAATTTATTCAAACAAAATTGAAGTAAAAGGTATGAAATTTTAAGAAAAAGCAATTGCTTAGTTTTTATTCATACGGCCCATTGTTGTGTTTGGAAGTTATTTCACATAATTTAAAAAAAAATAGCCGTCACCGATTCGCCACTTCTCGCTCGCTATGTTTCAGTTCCGCTCGCTTAAAGAAGAATTTTGCATGTGAAAGCAACAACAAAGTTAGCTAGCACGGATAGACGATAGCGAGTTTGGTTGTACCTCATTGAGTTCGTTCGTTTCGCCACTAGCTAACGGCTGGCGAATCGATGACGGCTAATATTTGAGATTTTTGAGAACTATCCGTTCATGCAAACAATTTACGTACACATGTACATATGTACGTTTGCAATCAGCTAATTAAGCTAAGCTAATTAACGTTTTGATCAATTTTGGCTACTTTTCTTTTGTTTACTTAATGTTTGTTATTTTTTCATAAAACTCTAGCACATTATATAACAAACACTATATAAATACATATACAAATACAAAGTATATTCGACAATTTTTTATATCTATGGAAAAAATGCGTAATACAGTCCGAAAAAAAAAAAATTTAAAATCAACGCGATTTTTTAGCAATTTAAAGCTTGCACTTTATTGCACCAGAATTTAATGGGCTATTAAACTGCATAAAAAAAAATTTGAAAAAACTGAGTAAAAAGTAGAAAATTTAGATGAAAATTTGCATCTTTTTTATAATTTTTGCACAAAGTTTGAAATGTGGAAATGCTTTCAAGCAGATCGAACCGATATTGGTTTTTTTTTGCGCGCCATATTGGATTCGCCATCATGAATTTTTAAAACCAAGCTCTAGGTTCGTATTCAGCAACCCCAAAAGTGTGCTAAGAACCTGCTGTTGCTTTTTCTGTTTTAGTGTTGGGTTCTCCAGTGGCACATATGTATGTAAGTTGCAAAGCGAATTCTAATTTACTGTTAGTTTAGACGCGATATTTAAGACGATATGTTGAATTTTTTTAAAAGACCACACTGTTTTCAATGCGACCATCATACTGAGAGCCTTATCTTTGTAATCCGTCCCATAGAACTTTGGGCACCGTACTGTACCGGTTGACGTGGAACGGCCCATTAACAATTCAAATAAACCATTTAGTATATTGCCACGATTTTCCGCATTTTTCAACAATTTCTGTTGAAGATAACCGCTAGCTGTGGCTCGAAAAAAAAACACGGGACAAAAACGCGCAGAAAAGCTCTACTCAGCGGGGGTGTGGAAATTAGTTTTAGCGGAGCTCGTTCGTGATCTAAGCATCGCACAAAAAAATGTTATTATAAAAGTTGTGAAGAATGAAATCTTCTACAACTTTGGCGAGAACCGTGACAATGTACAAATTTTTCGCACTCTTTGCCAACTATTTATAGTAAAAACTTTTTTTTACCGTTTATATCAAAAAATATTTCAAATTAAATTCTTTACAAATTTGTATTGAACCTTTTTACGAAAAATGCAAAATAAGCTTGCAAATCGCAAAAAAAAACAAAAAAACTTAAATCCAAGATGGCGAAATGTTCCTAAATATCAAATTTACATAGGTGCAATACTGTGAATCTATATACATACATACGTGTCAAGTAGAAGTAAACAACGTCAAAATTTCCGAACACAATTTTATTTTTTTTTTTGAAGAAGTCTAAATTCACTGGGCGTAACTTTTAAACTTTGCTTATGAATTTATATTAAAATCATTTTCTTCACACATAGTCAATACTCGATATGAGGTTTTTTTAAGAGGAGGATGTATTGAAACCCTGTATATCCCATCAGTGTGGGAATTCAACCCGAACTAAATCTCCTACCTTCCTGTACCGTATTTCCCCCCAGTACTACCTTCAAGTATTTCGTCGGGAGGTAGTTATATATATACGTAGATATGTATAATGGATGCGAGCTTGGGTCGATGGTGCTTCTAAAACTCGTCACACGATTGATGTTGGGTTGAACCGGGCGTGAACCCAGGCCTTGCGGAATGGTAGCGCTCACTGCTAACCACTACACCACAGCGGTCGCCTATAAACTTACACATTCGTATAAATTTCAAATGGGAAAGCATGCAGCTAGCTAAAGAACGCGAGTTATGCTCTTAAAATTGTAATAGCCGTTCCAATAGACATCGTACGAGACTAGTAAAACAGATACCATCGAAATAATTAACAACGTTTTAAAAATCCCCCAACGTTTACAACGAAATATAACACAAATAGGAATTACAAAATACTATCAAAAATCGATTAATAATTGAAAAGAGGCAGCAAAATGGTACATGAACCTAAAATGTTCTTTTCTGATTTATTATCTTTCAGCCCGGACTAGATGAAGTCGTCAAAAAATGTCGTAATGTGAATCTCTTCTTCTCCACTGACATCGAAACTGCCATTAAAGAAGCCGATCTGATATTCATTTCCGTAAATACGCCCACAAAAAATTTCGGCAACGGCAAAGGTATTAAATTCATCCCATATAAATTTATGTATATACTTATTGTACATAAAAGTTATGTATGTATGTATGTATGTTAAATCTTAACCAGCCAATTCAATTCTTTTCCACCGTAGGTCGTGCTGCCGACTTAAAATACGTTGAAAGCGCTGCCCGTATGATCGCTGAAATTGCACAATCCAACAAGATCGTTGTCGAGAAGAGCACAGTACCGGTACGCGCCGCCGAGAGTATCATGCACATCCTGCATGCGAATCAAAGGCCTGGCATCCGCTATGATATTCTCTCCAATCCTGAGTTTCTTGCCGAAGGCACTGCCATTGAGGATCTGCTGCATGCTGATCGTGTTTTAATTGGAGGCGAACAGTCGGCCGAGGGTCACAAAGCTGTTGAGAAATTATCGTGGATCTACGAACATTGGATACCGAAAAAGAATATACTCACAACGAATACTTGGAGTTCAGAATTGTCAAAATTGGCAGCAAATGCATTCCTAGCGCAACGCATATCGAGTATAAACTCATTGTCGGCCGTGTGTGAGGCGACGGGCGCTGATGTCTCTGAAGTTGCGCGCGCGGTCGGCCTGGATTCACGTATTGGCTCGAAATTTTTGCAGGCGTCAGTGGGTTTCGGTGGCAGTTGCTTTCAAAAGGACATTTTAAATTTAGTATATATATGCGAGGGTCTGAATTTGCCCGAAGTAGCTGCATATTGGCAGCAGGTGATCGACATGAATGAATACCAAAAATCGAGATTTTCGCAAAAGGTTGAATTGGTTAAAATTTTACAGTCGTTTTTTAAAAATACAAAGAAGCAATTTTTTTTTTCAGATAATCGAAAGCCTATTCAATACCGTCTCAGATAAACGCATTTCGATATTTGGTTTCGCTTTTAAGAAAAATACTGGCGACACTCGTGAAACTCCAGCCATAACAGTATGCAAAACACTACTGGAGGAGGGTGCTAAGTTGGACATTTACGATCCGAAAGTTGAACCAGAACAAATAATAGACGATCTGACACATCCTAGTGTAACGGAATCACCCGAAAGTGTCAAGAAGGCTGTGCAAATACACAGCGATCCATATAGTGCAGTGCGCGGTACACACGCGATTGTACTTTGCACAGAATGGGACGAATTTGTGGTGAGTGAGATACCACATGAAGAAATTATTGAATAGAGAACTTTAAATAAAATATGTGATTATTATATGTTTTGTTTTTTTCTATTACTAATCGCGCAGACATTGGACTACAAACGAATCTATCAGTCTATGATGAAGCCAGCCTATATATTTGACGGGCGTAAAATTTTGGATCATGAATGCTTGCAGCAGATTGGATTCCACGTACAGACTATTGGTAAACGTTATCAACGGACAGGTCTAATGAGATCTTGGGGAAGCGTTCCGCAATTGTAGAAAACCGCCATCTAAATTTTTAAGTACATACATCCATATACATATATACATATAGACATTCAAGAAAAATTCTGCTGATAAAATTGCAATGAAATGCGTGTGAGACACATCTCAAGCTGAGCTGTTTGGATAGGAGAAAAATAACTGAAACCTACTATATGCATACAGTATTTTTTAATATTTTGCTGTAACATTTATTATTGTAAATATTTAAAAACGTGTGTACGCGTATGTATGTACGTGTACATCTAAAAGATATAATTTGCATTATTTTACATTCATATAACGTCGTATTAAGCACATTTAAAGTTCGAATTCAAAGCTTTTTTAAATAGCCATGCAAACTACAACCAACTATGTATTCGTGCCGCCAATCGAAACGACGGTAGTTATCTTACTTCCTCCCAATAGTACTTACATATGTATACGTCAATGCAATTTACTAAAACTTCTAATTACAAAACATACATTTAAACAAATATTCAAGCACATTGTATATACGAACTTTACACGATTACATTCGTTCAAATATGTATGAAATCACAAAAACATGTACGTAAAAACAAGTCGTCTTTTTATTTTAAATAAAAGCGTACTTCAAGCATATAATCTACTTTTGTTAATAAAACATTTGAATTTCGTGACTTTAACTATGGAATCCTCCTAAAGATTTGACGATACCAAAGGTAGGAGGTAATGGCTGATAAACTGAACCACGTTAGCAGGTATGACAAGTGCTCATTACGCATTGTGACACGTGTCTGGCCACCTATGGGTCCACCTGGAATAGATGACTCGTATGTAGCATCTAATATAATTGGTACTGCTCCGGTTAATGCACACATTTTCGGTAAGTCCCTGTGGAGGAATAAACGAATGCATTTGCAGCCAACATAAGTATGAATATAAATTAATATTTACCTGTAGAGGAAAACACCTCCTTTGTGGTCGGGGGAAAATTGTGGACGACTTTCCCCCATTCGCACTATGCCAGTCAACTCTACTTCAGTTTCTATTTGTCCTTGGGCTCGTGTTTCGGGTTTGACTTGTTTTCTTGACACCCAACCACGATTAATCAAAATTACTTCACTTCAAGTGGCAATGAAATAAACAGAAAGTTTTTAGTGCTTTAAAATTATAGACGTGTGAATTTTGAAAATTTGGAGCCAATTCAACTACTAATGAATTCTACATATCGCACAATTGTTGCAAAGTTGTCATAATCCAAAAAATTGAAAACTCGAGAAAAACAGCTTTGTGGTTCATCCGATTTTGATGAAATTTAGTTTGTACTCTCTCTTTTATTAGAAAACCCTAAATATAAAATATGGGGAGGTTTCGATCACTATAACGCCCAAAACTCACAAAAAATATGGGCCCAGTCATTAAATGTGATGGAATTTCGGTTAATTTTTGTTTCATGCTTTCCACTTCAGAAAACAACTTTACTACTTTAAAATTATATAGGAGTTCATATTCTCTTTTTTCCCGATGTTTGGTGGGATTCTTCCATTCTTCGAAAAATTGTTTTCGCGAAATTATGCAAAAAGAAGTTGAAAATCAAACATTAAGAAAATCGAAAATTACATATATTTGCAAAGTCGCGCGAAAAGATCCAATAATATATTTGAAAACTACATAAAATTCTCTAAGACATGCGTCTAATCTCAAGACCTGACGGACCAGTACTCATACTTCTTTTACTAATAATCTTTAGCATTTACACTTCCAAGTAACTTTTTTGATAAAAATAGGAAAATACTAAATAAATGATAAATACCTTCACCTGAATATTCCACGACATTTAGGTAATTGATTACAGTTGAAAAAGAAACCCTTGCTGTAATGGGTCCAGCGCCAAATGCAATTAAACTGACGCGTCGATTGCAGTATTTTTTCATGATTCGTTTTTGTTTTAAAATACCACTATGCACTATTAGCCCCACCTTTTTGTGAAATTTAGCTACCATTTTAGGAAGTGTGATTGAATTCTTCCCCTTTTTCTCTTGCTACCGAAAAACCATCCCTGTGGGTGGGAGTGTCAAATTTTAGAAAAAAGCTACTTACAAAACCTTTATTAAATCATGGTATTATTTTTTTTGGAAATACGCCGTTGGAGGAGAGAGGGGGTGAGTAAATAATGTGAAATTTTGTATTTATGACTTTTACTTTTCATTCTCTAAGCCCAACCGGTTTTTTGTATCAAGTGTCACCATGACTTTTTTCTACCTGAATACATATAGTCGAAACACTGTGGGGAGCTGGGTTTTGAGGTTTATATAATAATTTTATTTTTATAAACAAATAATAATTTTTAAGAAAAGAAAAACCGACTTCTATTCTCATATAAAAATTGAAGAGTACTGTTAATTTTTTCATGGTCAAGTGATCGGATCTAAACCAAATTAATATGGGACCACCTCTGAGGTACCACCTTTCTGAAAAAAAAAGAATTATAGAAATCGGTTAACGTGGCCCAAAAAAAAAAAGAAAATATTCCGACGAATAGATAATCTCCTTTTTTGAAGTCGCTTAATAAAAAAAGAAACAGTCGAAAAAGTGGATTGAAATACAAAAAAAATAGTTGTCCTAACCCATGGCGGAATAATGGTATAATCTCTTCGTTTTGGTTGTTTGTGTTTCCGACAAGGTAGGAGTATGATGTATTGCGTCCGCACTTAGATGGGTATGCATGACCTAATGACAGCTAAAACATACATAAAAGCGGAAGGAAACACGAACTATTCAGAACGAAAAATGACACTGAAGATGACATAATGCCGAAACCGGTTTGTCTCCAAACCGAATTTGACAAGGGATGACGGAAAATCGTTCCACAATACATCAATGGTATAATCGTTCTCACCAAAATGAACATGACATGGTTTCAATTGCTTTTAACAGGTTTGTAAGTATTAAAAGGATCGATATCTTCATTAGAACTGAATTGCTATTGGCTCCGAGGCAGCTCAAGGTACTTACTCTCTATCTGCCAGTTTAAACGGCGTTATCACAAGATAGCCATTGCCGATATCACGTTGTGAAAATAAGCCTCCAGCGGTTTCACTTCCATCCGGGCGTATGAATGAACGAGGTCCCATAATAAGTTCCTTATTATGTATAAATTTTCCACGCACAGCAACCAACCGATACTCCATAGCAGACACCTCGCTAAAGCTGAAAGAAGACAATTGAACTTAGTAATAAAGGCAATCATTTTAGTTTAATTATATATGCATCATTACTCTGTGGGTAGTGGTACTGGTGACATTTTGGTTTGAAGCTCCAAGTTCCTGATTAATTGCTCTTTCCATGCTTTGCGTTTCACTTGCCAGCACCCTAGACCAAATGTAGACACTGGGACAAGCTGATATTCAGGTAATATGAATAACTGCTATAAAATTAATAAACTCTGCAGAATGCGACTTACCAAGAGGAACCAGCCAAGAGGTGTTATTTTCTTCTTGCTATCAATCCGCATGGTAGCGGTGCCAGTCCCACCAGTCGATTGCCATTTTCGATGAACCAAAGAGAACGTGTTTGACGTAGGCAGCTTCCCAAATGGATTTGCAATTAATTTTGTTGAAACGCTGTGTTTTACAAATGTTTTTGCCTCGAGTCGCAGCATAATTTATTTATTTTTAATTGCACAATGGTAAATAGACTTTTTTCAATCAGCGGTTAACGATCAGCTGATAAAAATGTTGCCATAGCATAAGGCCAGTATGCAGCTCTCAAGAAAAGCGAAAACTCCATGCAGCATTGCCGAATTGACGATTTCGTCATCATTTTGACTATTTTTTTTAGCTCAATGACGTTTTGACGATTTTTTATTTTAGATTTTCCACCTAATTTCCAGAGAACGTTAAATACATCTATGCATTTGACAGCATACTTTATCATTTGTAAAATGTCGCCAAAAAAGAAGATTCGAGCTTTTCAGACCAAATTTGTATTTTCCACCAAAATAAACGATGTTTCTACTCTGAAGAATTCTGCGAAATGAGAAAATACTTGTCAAACAACAAAAAAGGCAGTTGAAAGCAGACGAGATCTCGCAATGCGAGAAAAAGTATGCTACGTACTTTTAGCGGTCTACAATTGCAGCATTTCGCATGCGTCGCCTTTTATGCGAGATTTTCCACAACGGGAAGACGGCCAGTTACCGGCCGTCTTCACATGCTTGAAAATCTTGCTTGCGTGATGTTCCCACTCGTTACAATTATAACGTGTTGTCTCTTCTTATAGATTTACGTTCTTTGCAAGCGAGAGCTCGCATCCCGCTCGGTATGCGAGAAAAAGCATGCTTCGTACTTTTTGCGGTCTACACGTGCGGTTTCTCGCATGCGTCGTCACGCAAGCGAGATTTTCCAGCACGTGAAGACGGCCGGTTAGGGCTGGAAAACTATCGATGGCCACGACCAACGTAACGTTCCCACGACAGTCGGGTCTACGTAACCGGAACGGCCCATATTTATATTTGGTTAAGGACTGTCACTCCAGCAACACTCCCCAAAAACTCTTTGGGGAACTTGATGCTGCTACAACAACAACCATCGATAGTATCGGTACTATCGATAGTACTATTGATAGTTTTGATTAAAAAGTCCAAAAATTAAACATAACAACTTTTATTGAAAATGAGATTAGAATTGCTAAATATGACAGTATTTTTGTTAACGAACAAAATGAGTGTAAGCTACCCTATAAACGTTTTGGCGAACGTTCGAAAATGACCTTCAATCAAAGAACGTAGATAACAAGAAGGGACAACTCCATGATTCAATAATACAGGGGAGAAGAAAGCAATCCCTTGTTGCGAAAATGATAGTAGATAAGTACGCAAAGTAGGCAATTAGTAGTGAAATTCTTTTTGTAAATTCTAATGTATTTGCAGGAAATCTGGCATGGCACTGAATGGAGTTTTCTTAAATGTACTGTGCAAGAGAGGAAGTGAAAATCCAACTCATTTTCCAAGGGAAATATAGGACAATCACTCTCTCTCATTAAAATTTCAATTCGATAATGGGCTGGATTTCGAATGCATAGTCCAATCATTTTCGAATTATTAACCAAACCAAATGTTTGTTGGGCATCCAAAGTTACAAACCTTCGATGTTTTCGATAGTCAAAAACCATCGATAGTTTTCCAGCTCTACTCCATGGTGTATTTCACAAGAGGTGTTAGCCGTATATAATTAAAAATTACACTAACAAATTATACACAGATATCCATACTGTCATTGGTATAAGTTACAACAAACACATCATTTTGACGTACTGCTCTGCACGCCGAAAAACTCAGCTGTCGCAACAACGCCACTTTGTTAAATACACCTTGCTCTACTCCATGTGCTCGATTTAATAAAATTGCCGAAAAGAAATTATCTAGAAGATCAAATTTTTAGTTCTGAAAATGCGCTTGGTTATATTGTACGGAAGTCAAACAGGTACTGCTCAAAATGTGGCTGAACAGATTTGGCGGGAAGCAAAAACGTGGTGCTTTAATGGACCAGTTCTACCGATGGATGAGTATCCAGTGCAGCACTTAATCGAGGAACAATTGGCTATTTTTGTCGTAGCCACCACAGGTAATGGGGATGAACCAGACAATATGCAGAAAACGTGGAAATTTTTATTGCGTCGCAGCTTACCATCAGACTCGTTGCAACGGTTGCGGTTTGCCTGTTTGGGATTAGGGGATTCTAGCTATGCTAAGTTTAATTTTGCTGCTAAAAAGCTGAACAAACGTCTAGTACAATTGGGTGCAAGTCCCGTACTGCCTTTAGGATTGTGTGATGACCAGCATGACCATGGACCTAGTGCGACGGCTTTACCGTGGATAGCAGAATTATGGAATGAATTGAGGAAGTCTATACCTTTCCAACGACAAAAAAATGGAGAAGCAAAGGCAATTTTTAAATGGAATGTAACATACTCTCATCCGACAACGCCTTTAGCAGAAATTTCTCATCTGCAATGGCCACTAAAGAGTGAGGCTGTATGTTTTACTTTGGGGGAAAATCGACGAACTACTGCCGCAGATCACTTTCAAGATGTACGATTTTTGAGATTTGTCTTTCCATCTATTATTGGTTGGAATGCCGGCGATATCTTAGATTTACGTCCCAGCAATGCAGACGAGCAAGTTCTGCAGTTCTTCGAACTAGTTAAAGAACATAATTTAGGTTTTAATGAAAGTACCGTAGTAAAACTTGACACGGTATATGATGATATGCCTGTGCCATTGGCTTACGCAAAACCAGTGACCGTTGGCATGCTAGCGAAGTATATATGGGATTTGAGCGCCTGTCCAAGGCAACGTGCTTTTGAACTTCTATCATTGAATTGCGAAGATGAATTAGAGAAAGAGAAACTAGAAGAATTCGCCTCATTAGAGGGATTAGATGACTTAATAAACTATGTGAATCGTCCACGGCGCACCATTCTCGAGGTTTTGCAGGACTTCCGGCATAGCACCTCGAAACTTAACCTTCCCATTTTATTTGAATTATTTACCATAATACAACCGCGAAGTTTTTCCATTGCTTCAATGCCTACAACTCGTTCACTAGATCTTCTGGTGGCAGTAGTTGAGTATAAAACCAAAATGTCTAAGCCTCGTCTTGGGCTTTGTTCTAATTGGTTGAAGTCGCTGAGCATTGGAAGTAAAGTATATGGGGTAATAAAACGTGGAACAATGTCTTTGCCTAGCGAGCTGGCAACGCCCATTGTGATGATAGGGCCAGGTACCGGTATCGCACCTTTTCGGAGTATAATACAGTACAAGAAGGAACAAGAAAAAAATGGCGGCAAAATCTGCGAATTAATTGTATTCTTTGGTTGTCGAAATAAAGCGAAGGATTATCACTTTGCTGAAGATTTTACACGTTGGCACGCGGAGAAGACTTGTAGAATATTTGTAGCATTTTCACGTGATCAGGACCATAAAATATATGTTCAACATTTAATAAAACAGCAGAAAGAGCTAATCAGTGAATTAATTTTGAAAAAATCTGCCGTTATAATGGTGGCTGGATCATCGAATAGTATGCCCAAAGCAGTGCATGAGGCTTTCATAGAGGTATTGGACGGGAATGAGGAATATCTGGATAAAATGATCAAAGGACGAAGATATCAAGAGGAGACTTGGTCATAAATGCATACATAATAAAATGGTTAGTAGATTTTTTGTGTATTTTGCAATTTATTAAATAAATTATTTTTGTTGCTATTGTACATAAAGCGACTAAGAAATGCATGAAAGCTTAAAAGCTAGTATATAGTTGTATAATTATTTGATATTCATATGAAATTTTGAGCCTTAACTTATTTTTATAACAACAAAAGGCCTAAGTGCACTTTGAGTGGCTTAAAATAATACTTACCTACATTTAAGTAATCTCGTTTAGTAATATTTGTTGAAAACTGTCCTAAATCTGTTACTACAAATTTAGAAAACGAGAGAAGAAAATCAATTTTGTACTAAAAGTATTCTATTGCAAAAATGGTCCATCAAAAACTAATGATCTACATAAATGCTTCATTAGAGTTGCAAGTCTCTTGTCGGACGGAGGATACTTATTACGGAAAAATAGGGTCCCTGGTATAGACAAATAGTATATGTTTGCCCACTATTATAAGTGTCTTATAAGAAAACTCTCTTTTTGTACAAAAAATGGGATTTTTACTTCATGTTTAGATTTGAACGGCCTGTGAGTTTTCGAGATACTTGATCTCATTTGACCTTTTGATTTCACAATTCTCTCGGACTTCCGCCCAAAAAGTTAAAAACGATTATGATCAGTATAAAAACATTCTATCGAAAGACAACTATCGAGTTTTCTTATACCTAAACAGTTGGTATTCTATACTCGCACCGATTTTTCTTTTCCTTCCACTTGTTTTTGCAAGACATTGCTAATATCCGGTTTGTCTATTTTTTATATTTATGGCCTTAAGGAAGGAATCTTGCTAATGCGCTTGATTTATAATGTTTCTTGTTTATGAATTATCTCCGTTAAGAACGAACTTTGTATCGCATCCTATTTTACAATTACAGATATTCATCAAATAGTTTTTCCGACGATGTCCGGCAAAAGGGACAATGACCTTTCTGTAGTACTTGCAATTCAAAGTCTTCAGAATAAAATACCTAAAAAGAAATGTTCGGTAAATAATTAGGAAGCAACGCCGCGAGCGTCTTGAAAACTCACCAACAAACATTCCGGACAAAAAGTAACTTGTAGATCCGGTAAAATGTTGCGATAATATATATTTTTTAAATTGTTTTCACGTCGCTTGACAATTAAAATGTGTCCTGGGTCAATTGCTCGCAATGCATTCCGATCAAGGCTTAGGGGTAAGGCGCTGGCAACATCCTTTCAATGAAATAATTTAATGAGAATGTAAACTTGACATTGTACTATGTATGTACATATACATATATCGCTCGTTTTCTGAAAGATCCGCATAATCTCATTTCTTTTCCTTCACAATTTTAGCTAAACGACCACTATTGGACCAAAGTAAAGAACCAATTAAATGTTTGCTGTGGGCTTTGTCCGCTGGTATAATTTTTCCGATTGTACCTTCTATAGTATTTTGGTTTTTATTTTTGTTCAAGCAAGACACTGGATTCAAAACAAACTTTTTACCCCATTTTTAATTTTTGAGCTATGGCGTTCTTCCAGCAAACTAGTAGATGTTATGTACTTAGTTACCTCATTAAAAGGATCACCCTCCTCGGCAGGTTTCGGCGGCGCGAGTAGCAATCGTTCTGCCTCGGCATCAGTAATATCTACTTCAGGGTAAAATTGTACTAAAGGCAAAATTTCTAAAGTATACAAGTATACAGTTAAACGTTATTTTAGTATAAAATTCATTATTGTCAGTTTTATATTTGATGTGATTACCAAAAGAGATGAATGAAAATATGTAATCTTGTTTACAGGTTGGGCAAATGTTGCCATTCAAATGTTGGCTATAATTTGAGCATTTGTAACAGAGCGGCAACAGCTCTTCGGGATCATTAAATCCACTCTTGCATGCCTTACTATTCAGGTAATTTATCTATAAAAATCACCAATGAGCTTCAATAATATAAACAATCGTAGAGAATTGAAACTCACATCAATTTGTTCCTGGACACCGGGGGGCGGTTTTAGTGATTGCAAACGCTTATTCACAACCAAGCATAATTTATTAGCCTGCAGTAGTTTGGCCTGTTTAGCTAGTGTGAACAAAACCGCACTAAAAAAAAATTACCATAGATAAAAAAAAGTAATGATGATTCTCGATTTGTGATTTAAGGCAGAAATTCTTTTACTCACAATAAGCTCACCCCCTTTGGTGTTCCTTTGTACTCGACTTCGTTCAATATAAAACGGCTTACGTTAAATAGACTAACTGGTGAATATGTCGTAAATGGTTCTTTCATATAGTTAAATATTACACTGTAAGCATAATATACTTTAGCAATTCGTAAGTGGCTTTGATACTCTTTATAATGGTGGTCAACAGGATTTTGCTCACTACAAAAAGTAAAATTTTCAAATGTAAATAATAACAGGACACCAAAGTTACTCTATATTTACTCTTTCTTGTAGTAAATGTCTAAATATTGTTTTGAAAGTAGCCAATAGAAGTAACTGGCATCTAGGAAACGCTCCTCTACAATGGCCGATGTGCTGAGCTGCTTCAGCAAACGATTTGCGTCTTTCATGCGCCCCGCTTTCAAGTAAGCTACATTTAATAATAAAACAACGTTTAAAAAATATATAACTATGTAGATATCGCACACCGTCTTCAACAGAGTCACAACTCAAAATAATACGTTTGTCAGAAAATGCGAAAAACTACCTTAGGGCGGCTTTACCTTAGGGTTTTTTTTTAACAAATTATAACAAAAATTTTCTCCGGCTTTTGCTGAAAGGTAAATAAAAGATCTGCGTACATTTTTAGCGCATAATCTCAAAAATGCCAAATTTTTAGTTGTGATTCTTTTGAAGACGGTGTGCGATATGTATGTATGCATATATTAAAGGAATGCTGAAGCGAACCTTCGTGTGCCTCAATAAATTGGTCGGATTCAGCAAGCCATTGGGCATGCTGGTAATTGACAGTGGGCAACATTTCTGGCATATTTTCTGCAAGTCGGAAAGCTTCGGCCCAATCGCGTGCTTCAACGTGTAATTGTATCACTTGTGCTTCATCGCCGAGCTTCTTAAAGATTTCAGCTGCTAATGGTAAAGCTTTCAACCGCTTTAAATTGAATGCAACCGATTCCAGTGAGATTTTCTCACTCAAACTTAATCGGCGTCCAATGTCATATAAACTTTAAATTAATAAAAGAAGTTGATTAATTAAATTAAATTGCATTTTTAGCTGCATTGCAAAACTTACATATCTGCCCAACCCTGTTCCGCTACAATGTCTATAGCTCGTTGGTGCTCCCCAGCTGATAATAATAATTCTGCGGCTGCTCGTGGCTCCTTGACGGAGTATGCCCATTCTGCCCTTTTTTTCACTAAATCACGTTTCGCTTCATCCGAGCCATCTTTGATGAATTCTTGCGCGAGATCGAACATGCGCAAATCAGTATACATTTCCAATGCACGCATGGGCTGATTGCACTTTTGATAAAGACGTGCAGCCTCCTTGTATTTTCCAGCATATGCACAGCTCTCCCCTTGTAGCACCTCTTTTGACACTTCTCCACGTTTCTGTTTATCAGTTAATTCATCGATTAACTGCAGCCAAGAGAGATTGCGCACCTTTACGTATGCATCACGCGCTATATGTAGATGCAAAGCTTCCAGAGCAGATTGTGCAAGGCCTTCCCAATCGGTTGTGGTCACACCTAAGCAGGCAACTTGGTAGGCCTCTCTGTAAGTAGTTTTAAAGAGGTAAAAAAGCGGAATAAAGAAAACGTTGCATAATTAATTTTACTCGAAGAGTCCCGCTTCAACGAATTGCCACATGGTTGCGCCAAGTGCTAGTGGTATATTATGCATAACGTTGCCACGCAGACAAAAAGCCGTGGCCCCACATAGACCCACTACTACGCCTAACATATTTTGGGGGCCGCGTGGGGGCAGACTGCCAACGCGAATGCTGAGTCCACCTACAGTGTGCGTGTAGCAAAGCATTGAGTCCAGGTGTGTATTCCAGGTTACAGAGTTCACGCCAGTGTCCTTGTTTAAATTCGTTTTAAATATTTCAAAGTGATTTGATGTGCATCATTTGTACAAACCTGATAAAGTAGAGTGTCACTAACAATATCTCGAACAACTAGGCGTCCAGTATCATCCACTACAGCAATCTTAGTGCGGTTCGCATTGATATCTAGACAGCGTACTGCTGATACGACACTGGTAATTAAAAGTGGAAGTGAGTTGTCCAAAAATATACGAAAAACCTGAGAATTTTCGATTCAGTTAACTAATATTGATTAGCTATCAAGACATAAATACCTGCCCGCTCTTTAGACCAACAAGAAGACCTTCTCGGCCTGATGGGCCACCCGTCACCTAAAGTAATAAATTTATCAATATGTTATACGAGTTTTTGCTTTTAAAATTGCGTTAAATTTTTGTTTGTTTCCTTTTTCTTGCAGTTCATTCACCTTAATATAGCGTATGAAAGAGTCCATTATCCAGTCTCGTTGTAATATGCCGTTAAAGTCCAAGCTCTGCAGACGTTTCTCCTGGCATAGGACTATGTGACGTGCACATACTACCAATAGACTGCAATCGAATTTCTTCTGAATCTTTTCTTTTACTTTGTAATGCATCGGCTGTTCTTCACCAGAACTTAATTCGTACAGAACCACACGCTCAGGTAGTTGCACTGCTAATCGATTTCTATAGATAGCAATTTTTTGCACTAAATCGCGGCATTTTATGCGCACTTTCTGGCCAGAGATTAAATGTTGTATTATGACATCGCACATATTTTCGCGAAATGCATAGCGTTCACGATACAGCGCATGAACCGTACTTGAAACGATGTTAAAGCAAGCGAGTGTGCCATTCTGACAGCCAATCGTATAAGATTGACTGTTGGGATGAATAGCGACCGACCAAATCCAGGATTTAAAACCTTCGCCAAGTGTGCCCAAACGTACGCCTTCCTTGGTAAAAAAGTGTAATGAGTCCGAACAGCCACTCACCACGCAATATTCTCCATTGGGGAAAAAGGTTAAGCACAGCGGATCAAAACCCAGCGCTCGCTCTTTGCCAATCATTTGACCGCTTAATGTATGAAATGAAAGTGTTTGGCCCCAATCAGCTACTCCAATTACATCAGTACTGGTCATTGGACAGCACTGTAGGCTAAAGACGTTGCTGCTTGAACCACCTGGACGATCGAAACGGCCTTTTTCCTCACCAAGCTAAGCAATTGGTAAGTAGGTATGTATATACATACAAACGTACATAATATGTACATATGTATGTAGTATATAGATTATGTACCATAACATGTATATCTGCATATGTTTATTTTTATGAATCTAAACTTACTTTGCTTCTAATGGAAATACTGCCATTGGCTAATCCAAGTATCAAGTACTGGCCATCATTGGTCCAGGTACATGAATTGACTCGTGTGGAAATTTTGTACTTTTGCACGGCTTTCTGGTCAGCAGACCAGAAAGCAAAGTCACTGTGTGAACAAGAAGCCAATTGATGTGAAACCGGATTGAAGGACATACATTGCACTGAGTCGTTATGTCTGAAATTATAGGCAGTTTTATATGTACATACATGCTGGATTGTGAAGATTGCAGAAAAGAATATTACGAATATTTTAGCAATCCCTCCAACTGAGGTGTCCACACGATAACTGTTTTGTCTACAGCACCACTTGCAAACTTTTTGCCATCGCGAGCATAGGCCACACAATTAACTACATCTTTGTGAGCCTTAAGAGTGTTTAGTAAAGTTCCATCTGGGTCATATATAAGCACCCGATCACCGGCCGCCACCACTAGTTGCTTTCCCTCAGGGTGATAGCATAAGGAATGCACACTAAAAAAAGGTGTAAAACATAAACGCAGAAGAGGATATTTTCATTGTAAGGATCGTTAAGTCGGTGATACTTTACAGATTTTTACGCACCTGACTTGGTCTTCTTTGGTGTTTGGAAATTCAATTTTCTGAACCCATTTAAGTACTCCACGCATTGCTACTAGACTTATGGAATACTTAAGAAAATTGTTGGGCTCTTTTAAAAGATCTGAAAGTGCTTCTGACGATTTTTTAACTTTGGTATTGCATTTAATTTTTGTTTACTATCTTTTGTTGCATAGTTGCTTGGCAACGACGTTGGAAACAACACATATGTGCTTCGCCGTACTACTAGAGATCGTAAATAGTGGTTAATCGTTACTGAATGAACGAATAAAAAAGAAAAATGAGTACATTTAATCCCATAAAGTTTATGGCATAATGCGTGATGTGTGATCCGGCCTATGTCGGTCTAAAGGATCTGGGCCACTACACAAATATTAGCTTAACGTTGACAAAAATGCATACGTACGACTGTAAGGAAAAAAAATAATGAAAACACTAGTGATTGGCTTTAATTACAAATATGTTTGTGTAGAAATACAGCGGGGAATTCGTATGTTTTCTCATACTCTCATTACCTTAACTTCATTAACGTGCCTTCAGTCCTTATTTCATTGGTGCACCTTAAGTATTCGAGTAAAAGATCGAATTTAACACCACTAGCATGTGTGTTTATACCCAATTTGCCACAGAGGGAGGACGAGTTCGATTCGACGTCGTTACGTTGGTCTGGTTAAGTCGTTTGTGTAAACTCGAAACGACGTCGAAACGAAGTCGTTTTTTTCAATATAAACAGCAACGTCCTTCCGACGTCGTGTTGCCTCATCGAATCGAAGTCGTTACGACATCGGTTTGGTGAAGTCGTGTGGTTGTACTCGAAACGGAAGTCGTTTTTCCATACAAAACGCAACGTCGTTTCGACTTCGTTTTTCTCATCGAATCCAAGTCGATAACGACGTCGGTAAGGT